CCAAGTCTCTGATGCAAAGCACGTAATTGCAAAGACTATAGCCTGGATCAGACACACTTTAGTTTCCAGCCTGACGTCATTGCTCTTCAGTCCTCTTGAGAGGTCCTTCACAGCTGGCTTTCCCAATGCAATTCGTCTCCTGATTTCCTGGCTGCTATTACCAAGAGTGTTGACTGTGGAACCAAGTAAACTAAAACTGTTAATTATCTCAGTCTCTTTACCATCCATATTGATGCTGCCACTTGGCCCAGGGGTGAGAATCTTGTTCAAGCTGAATTTGAGGAAAATGAAATCAAGTCCATGGGAACCAAGATTTGACCTTAAGACTATCCTACTCGAGTTTCAAAACCATCTCAGGAACAGGTTTGAGGCCTTGAGCACCAGTGAACGTAGACCAAATGAGCTCTGGGAGGATATCAAGAAGATTGTCCATGAAGAATGAAAAGGCTGAAGAAGAAGAAAAGGCCAAGATGGATGTCAGATGAGACTCTGAGTATTGCATTAGTGCACTGAGAAGCCAAAGCTAAAGGAAGAAATCAAGACATCAAAGCGCTGAACAGAAAATTTCAAAGGCAGCTCAGGATGACAAAGCAAGCAAAGATACTATAACCATTATATCATTCATTAAAATACAGGTTGAAACTGCATTTCTGTGGACATATTTTTATATTACAAATGTTCTCACATTCTTTTCCCTTTTACAGTTCTGGACATGGCAAGACATGTGCCACTCTATCGGGCTCTACTGGAATTGCTCCGGGCTATTGCTTCTTGTACATCCATGGTGCCCCTATTGTTACCTCTTTCTACAGAGGATGGTGAGGAGGAAGATGATCAATCAGAATCTCAAACGTCCGTGGGCACATTATTAGCCAAAATGAAGACCTGTGTGGATACCTACACCAACCGTTTAAGGTACTGTATAACACGTTGGTTCCTTTTTGACCTTACCTCTAACAATGTGGTGGTTTTTTGTTTTGTTTTGTTTTCAAACAGCTGGGTGGCGGAGGGGGGAGGTTTCTGTTGGTCTTTACTTTGTTTTGTTTGTTTGTGGTTTGGAGTTTTGTTTTTACTTCCTGTAATGCTGCATGATAGTTAAACACATACACTCCTATGTACACACTGTATATCTACAAAGAAGGAAAATCCCATCCAGATTAGTTTCATATTTACAGTAGTTATGTCTTACAGTTATAAGCAGTTACTAAAAATGCTTTCACATTGTATGTATCATAGAGATACATACAATTTTTATTTAAAAAGGTTATCTAGGGCATCTCCTCATACCAGTAAATATATGTGTCTGCTATTTCTCTTCACTTTGCTGTCACTTGTTGTTTACAAGCATGTTGCCACTGAATGGAATATTCCCACTCAATATTCTATATATGTGAAATGTTTTATCTGAATTATTAGAGATTTACCTTATTTCCAGTGTACAGTGACCTCATAACACATATATTTGTAGTCTGTAGAGATTTCTTACATTTTATTCATCGTATTACTGAGTTCATTAATTAGTCATGTTTTATTTTGATACATACTGTTTTCTTCCATGACCTTATTTATAAGTCAAGGCATTACCTTCAGTGCTTCTTGTTGGAACTACTGTAAAATTGACTTCTTTTATCATCTTAGAAAACAACTGAACTCTTTTTTTTTTTTTTAGACTTTAATAAAAGTTTATAGAGAACTTGCATTTCCATTCATTCATTGTTGCACATTATTCTCCTTGTGTACCCCCCACCGCTGTAAACTGAATTTTTAAAATTTGTTTTGGTCCATTAAGTTTTACTTCACTAGATTCAGTTGGAGAGCCTTGTTGGTTTAGTCTGAGTTTTACTGCTAATCCAAAGGCTGTGCCTTTCTGGCAGGTCAGGCCTTCAGAGGAGAAAGATGAGCAGCCTCCTCCCCTCCAAAAAGTGGAGAGTCAACTTTAAGGGGTTCTCACTCAGTGGCAATGAGATGATGAGAAATTAAAAAACCTTGAAATTTTTTCCTTTCTCATAACAAATATCATTGGTTGTGAGATTTCATGAACTATGAAATTAGCATACTTAATTCTTATTCATAAGGTATTTATTTAAATTAATATTATAAATGATAAATTATTTGTCAGTAGCCTTTTGAAACAATTAATCTTCTTAATAGCATTACTATTTGTTCTTCCTGGTCTTATTTATTTTATGAAAATATAAAAAGAAACACAGACTAGATGGATTTATGACTTATGAGTTTCTAGAGGACTAACTCTTCTCAGTCTTTATCTTTCAGGGATAAACAGCTTCTCACACAATTCTATCTTTATTGGTTATTGATTATGCTACTATGGTCAATTTAAAAATTAGTGACTATTGCCAGAGAAATAACTAAAGTAGAAAAGAGATGAAAAGGTAGAGATTTTTTTTTAACTTTTATGTTTATAGTAACAGCAATGACATGTCTATACTGTTTTGTTACCAAGCTAGTATAATGTAAGAGAATAGAATTTTTTGATAGTGTAATGGTTTTTTATATGGTTGCTGTTAAGTGCCATCAAGCTGTAGACAACCCATTGCGATTCTATGAACAAAAGACCTGAACACTTGTATCTGGCTTTGGCAATAATGTCTCTGGTGCCACGACCTCTTCTAAACCTAACTTGTATTTCTGGTAGTTCTCTGTCAATCTATTGTTCTAGTGGTTTCTGGATAATCCTCAGTAGGATTTTGCTAGTGTGTGATATTAGTGATATTATTCAATAATTTCCACACTCTGTCAGGTCACCTTTCTTTGGAATGGAAGTAACTATGAATCTCTTCCAGTCAGTTGGCTAGATAATTGTCCTCCGGATTTCTTGGCACAGCCTGGTTGAGCACATCCAGGGCAGCATCTGTTTGTTGAAATATATCAGTTGGTATTCCATTAATTTCTCATGCTTTATTTTTTTGCAAAGTCCTTCAGAGCACCTTGAACTTCTTCTTTCATCACCGTTGCCTCTTCATCATATTGTTGCTTCATTAAATTCTGTGTCAGCCAATTCTTTTGGTACAGTGACTCTGTATACGCCTTCTGTCTTCTTTTAATGCTTCCTAAATCACATGTAAAGTACCTAAAGTACGTATTTTTTTGTGTGTGGTTATTTAAAAACTAAATAGCATAACAAAAAATCAATTCCAATCTTATTGATTCTGGCTCATTGCAATCCTATAGAACCAAATAAAATGGTCTCAGCATTTCCAGAGCTATAAATTTTTATAAAGGCTAATTGACTTATTTCTCCTATAGAGAATCTGGTAGATTTTAAATATCAGACTTTCATTTAGCAGTTGAGCACTTGAATGAGTGGGACACAAGGGCTCCTGAACAAAGTAAAGCTGATACTAATTTACAAAATATGTTCATAAACCTTTATTACTTTAAATATTCCAATTTGCCAAGCATACTCAAAAAGGAAGCCCTTTTTTCATTTACATATGTTGCATATCCTAGATTATATTCATGCTTGTGTATAACGACACTGATTTCCTTTGAATCTTGCATCATCTACAACTTTTATTTTTTCTTAAAGCCAGTGCCTAAACCCAACTAATTCAGACCTATAATTCAACAGTTAGAGTCACTAGAGGTTCTTGACTATCCCCATGCCCCTAATCTTGAAACCTTCTGTCAAAGAAGATGGAAAAGGCACCAGTAAGAAGCTGAAAACACCACTTATCGTGCTTTAATACTAGTTTCTATGGCATTATAGAAATATATGACTATATTGAGGTAGGTAGGAACATTAGTAATTATTCTAGCAAAATTTATTGGCTGCTCATAGGTACAAAATAGAAGAATTGAATGCCTTTCCTAAAAATTTGACAAATAACAGGAAAGGACCAGACTATTTTAATAACATGTTAAACTACATTTTATACAAGATACTGGGGACGGGGGGGAACAACTCAGATTGAGACCTACAGAGTGAGAAAAAGTTAGTCAAATGACAAGGAGTGAGTGTACTAGGTTGTAGGAATAGTATTAGCAGTGAAGATAGCATCAAATGCTTTGTTCCTCAAATTACAGTGTAATTAAGTTAGCATTACTCATACTGTCCTTTTTGATGATGATGTTTTTCTCTCTACATCTTAATATTAGTAATGTGTATTATGTAAATGTTACAGCATCTAATTTGTTGATGGCATCACATCTGTAGTTTATATGTAATATTTCCAACCTCCAAAGATCAGATGCTTAAAAATACTGTTGCTAAAATGCAATAATAACAAAAACTTGGGGGAAAAATTTATTCCTCTAAATCAGAACCAACTTCTGATTAAATTTTTGACCATACCCCTGTGATAAGCTGAGGACTACCTGTAAGGAAACTAAAGAAGTGAGTTGTGGTAGGATATGAGTCTTGGGAAGAAATCTAAGAGTGTACTGAAAGTTGTTGTTAATTGTTCTCTCGTGGGCCTAATTCACAGCAGCCTTATGCACAGTGGAACAAAACTTGTCTGATCCTGGCCCCTTCACCTTGGCAACTATGTTGTTGCTAAGCGCCATCAAGTCATAGATGACTCACAAAGACCCTTTGAACTGAAAGACCTGAACACTTGTATAACTTGCATCGTTTCTCTAAATTCATAGAGTTTCCAGAGGCAAGCTATTTAGAAGTGGATGCCATTCCTGCTTCCAAGCCTATTTTAATCTGGAAGCTCCACCAAACACTGTCCACCATGGGCAGCCATTATCACATTTGGCACATCAGTGTCACAGTGTTCAGCTTCACAGCAACCACAAGTTACCTCTGTACAGAAAATGGACAGACCAGTGCTATACCACTTAGAAGAATGTTTGACCAAAGACAATTAAAACCAGCCCCATGCCTGCAGATTAAAATCACACACTTTGTCTTCGCAGCCTTTTTATCCACTAGGCCAACAGAGCTCTATAGATCTGTCTAATCTAGGTAATCTAGTAGTAGTCTAGGGTTTCATTGGTTGAATTTTTTTAATGCAAGTTTCCAGGCCTTTTTTTCCTTAGTTTTAGAAACTTCACTGATGATGGGTGGTGGCTATATAAGGAGCTTTAGCAAGGAATCACAGCCTTATATCCCAAATGGAAGTCACAAATTCTATCAACAGAATGACATTTTCTAAGGAATTGGTTTTGTTTTGTTTTGTTTTTAATTGTGCTTTGAGTGAAAGTTTATAGAATAAATTAGTTTTCTATTCACCAATTCATATACATTGTTTTATTATATTAGTTACAGTACCCACATTATAATTTCTCCCTGTGAATCTTATTTCCATTACCCCTTCCTGCCTTCTGACCTTTATCCCTAAGCAAATGCTATCCTCTTTATCCTGTATGATTGTTCTCTAAGGAGTAACTCCCTTGTTTTATTTTGTACTTTATAGACTTGGCTGTTACTTGCCTGAAAGTTGAGCCACAAGGATGAGTTTTTGTTTCCAGTTCAAAGGGTAACTTAAGGGCCACAGTCTTGGGGGTGCCACCAGTCTCTTATCAGACCAGAAAATCTGGCCCTTGTTTTATTCTTTAGTTTTGCTTTGCCTTTTTTTACCCATTCTGCCCAGAAGCCTTGATTGTGATCCATTTTAAAGCTGTCCACAGTGGTAGCCAGGCACTGTCTAGTTCTTCTCCTCTTGAAGGCATAGAAATTGGTGTTCAGATACTCTATTAGTCCATTTTACTGTTTGTTGCTGTGAAGCTTTCCTTTTCTTCTCTCTTCTTTGTTCAGGGTACAGAGAAGAACATAGTTGTACTTTTGAGAGCTTTTGCAAGCTTTTGAGACCCTAGTCACTATGCACCAAAATAGAACATAGGACATGGCCTTTATGGACTTGGTTATGTCACTTAGCCTTAGTATCCATTATGGTTCTGAGGCCCAAGATCTGCTCATTCCCTTAAGTGTTCATTTGTTATTAAGA